ACACCAGCAATGGTCGGCCACTAGCCCGTGCCGAACCATCGCCTTTTATCTATAAATATGGAGTTCCTTCATTGAACCAAAAACTTTGCCTCTTCGTTGCATTTATTCTGCTCACTTTTCCTCTTCATCTCTTTCTCTTCTCACTACTTTTACTCTGATCACCAAAACACACCAGGATCGCATAAACACCACACTTTGCCACCGCCTGAACTCCTTCTATAGCTAAAATTTCCAAAATAGTCCCCCAAAAAGAGAAAGCGTCGTCTTCCTCTACTACCCGGCCGGCCAAACCGGTGGTGCCGCCGGCCCTTCACGAAATCACTCCCGGTCCTTGTGTGATAAAGAAGGACTTTAATGTTGACAACCCCCCTAATATCCCAGGCCGATNCCCCCCGATATCCCAGGCCGATGTGAACATATATCTCGACTTATTTGTTTGATATCGAAGAAGTACCTCAAAGCCATGAAAAGGGACTGCGATTGGGGAGACGAGGTCTTGGTTCAGATCCCGAGCCCCGAGGAAAGCATGACTACCCACGTGGAGAGGTTTTAAAGTGTTTACACTTACCCATGTGAAAAAAGCAAAAAAAATCATTTTTTCATTTTTAACAATTAGTTTCTCTTAAAAAAAAAAAATCCAAACACATTAATGATAACGTATGGCCTTCTTGTCTCTTTTTCTCGGTAGTTCCAGTTATGTCCATGATGTTTTTCATGTGCTATTGTTTGTCTACTACTAATCTTGTTAGAAAATATAGCATATTACTCCATAATAAAAGTAGTAATTTGATTAGTGAGTTAATAATAATAATAATAAATTTTAATATATCTTCTTAAAATTAGTGTGCTACATTCCTACCGCATAGACGCATCAATATTTTAATGACCCAAAAATTGGTAATATCTGAATATGAACTAACAAAATTTAAAATAAAAATAAAGATATAAAGATGAGCAAGGGAAAGTTTATAAAACAGATCCCAGTTGAGAAAGCAGATTACAACTCTACGAAAATAGTTGAATCTTCTTTGATGTAAAGCAGCAAATGTGTGATGCAGGTATTAAACATATGCATAACCCGCAACCGCCCCGCAATCGCAGTTAAATTAAAAAATATTCTTGAACCCGTCCCGCACCCGCACCGCACCGCATAAACTTAAACCCGCCCCGCCCCGCATTAGGGGTGGGCATCGGTCGGTTCGGTTCGGTTGTGAATATTATCGGTTCTTCATATCGGTTATCGGTTTATAAATATATTAAACCGATAACCGAACCGATAAGATATCGGTTATCGGGTATCGATTAGCCGGTTATCAATCCTTGTCGGTTCGGTTATCGGTTTACCCGATAAGAATAAAAACTATCCGAAAATTTATGATAGAAATCGTGACCATACTATTAAGAAAGAAATTGAATTTTCGCTCTTAAGAGAAGAGACATTAAATTTCAACCTAGAAAATAAAACTTTCTTTGCATTTGAAAATCCCAATGAATGATCTCAATTTTCAAAGTTATAAGTTAATTGGAGTAAGTGATAAGACATTCAACAATCTAATCTTACTAACTATCTCTCTGTGGGCGGGCATAATTCATAGGAAAATAATAAAATCCTAATCTTGTAAATACTAAAGAATCAGAGCAATAAAAGAAACAAATAGAAAAACTAAAATTTGAACAATTAATTCTCTAAAGTTTAAAACTAAAATCCTAATTGAAAAATTAAAATGAAAAATTTCGAAAAGTTTAAAACTTACTCTAAGGATTAAGGTCAGAAGATGAAGAGTAACTACCGAGAGAATTGAGACAATGAAGCCATAAGGTGGTTTTATATACTTAGTGGATAAAATTATAATTTTGATAAATTTTATTGGGCTATCGGTTAAACCGTTAATAAAATTGGGCAAACCGATACCCGAACCGATAACCCATTAGTCAAATAATATTAAACCGTTATCGAACTATTTACCCAATAACCCGATACCGATAACCCAATAGCATTTTATTGGTTCGATCTATCGGTTATACCCGATATATGCCCAGCCCTACCCCGCATAATCTTAAAGCCGCCCCGCCCCGCACCCGCCCCGCCTCATTTGTCATCCCTATTCTACACTAGTCTGTTATAACCTTGGTTCTTCCGTCATCTCCATATCAATTCTGTACGCTAGTTCAGTAGCATAGTAACTAATTCATGAAATCTGCTTCTTTTAATATAGCTGCTCCAAGTTTGTTAATCATCAAAACATATCAGTACTCAGCTCAATAATAAGCAATATAACTAGATGAATACTCCCTCCGGTCTAAAATAAGTAATTTTTTGGCTTTTTTTGTGGTCCAAAATAAGTGATTTTTCCAGATTTCAAGAATGAATCAATTATTTTTTTTCCTACATTGCCCTTGGAGTAATTAATGTTGGAGTATGTGTTATGAGTGTTTATGTGAAGAGATAATAAAGGTTAATATGGTCAATTTCATTGCTAATTAATGTTAAAAGGTGAATTTCTTAATATATGTGAAAACAACCAAAAAATCACTTGTTTTGGACCGGAGGAAGTAAGAATTATTATGACATTTAGTGCACTGCCCTATACAATTCCTTTGTCTTTTTGAAGGTGTGGTCAGATAAAAATTTTGATCAATGAAAGATGTCAATGCCAAAATAAATCTTGCAAATCAAACTAAATATGCCTTAAATTTTGTGAACTAAAATTGTGACACTAAAAACCAAACATTGAACTTTAATACGAGCACGTTGTTTTATATAAGCCAGACTCTCATTTTAAGGTGAAGTTTCTTAATTTGAGGGCATTTTACCGTTAGTTGTATTAAGATTGCAAATATACGTATTTTTATTCAAAATTCTATTGAACATAAGAATATACAAAATCTTGCATAAACTACGTACAGAGTACTACAAAAGCAAACAAAATGGTAAGCTATATATATATATATGTGTGTGTGTAACACTAGATAAACTTCACATTGGTAAAATCCAAGAGGAAGGTGATGTTGGGTACTTAAGAAGCCAAATTTCATACATAAGTGAAGTGTTTTAAAGTTGTGTGAGCCTAAAGCCAAAGATGACAATATCGTTATTGGACTGCTTTATTACATGTGAAACCAGCGCATGAGTTAAAACTTCAATTAAAGTAAAAGGAACAATTTTATAAGGTAATTGTTTGCTCTAAAATTGAAAATGAATACGATACAATTCACAAATTCTAAGAAATGATCAAATTCAAAAATTATTTCTATTTTAATTATATAAAAATTCAAGTTTCATTTTTAAATGAAGTTAAAAAATACAACTCTTGTTAGTTCAATAGTTTATCTAAGAGTTACTCAATGAATCAGTTGATTGGAATTACGGGGATAGTTGTTATAAATGATGAATAAATTTTATATAACCATCTCAACGTTCAATGAGGTTTAGACAAATCCTACAACATTGAGATAGATGGTGGACTAACCTCAATTGGCTTAGGCGAATCTCACATCTTTGAAATGAGGGAGAAATTCAAAAATAGTCAGATTTATAAGTGGTCGTTCAAAAATAGCCCAGTTTCAAAAGTAATCGAAATGTAGCCACTTTTCATGTAAAGATAAATCTGAGCGAAAAAACTGTTCAAAACCCAAAAAATACGCTAGTATATTATGCTGGAGTTTCAGTATATTATGCTGGAGTTCCAGCATAAGTTTACTTGAACTCCGGCATATTATACTGGAGTTCCAGGATAAGTATGCTGGAACTCCAGCATAATATGATGGAGTTCCAGCATAAGTACACTAGAACTCCAGCATAATATACTGGAGTTCCAGCAAAGTATACCGGTCCAGTATAATATGCTGGAAGTTCATACACAAGTGCTCGAATCTCCAGTATATTATGCTGGAACTTTCCGTGTGTTGGAGTTCCAGCATAATATGCTAGAAGTTCATACACAGGTGCACCGAACTCCAGTATATTATGCTGGACCGATCTCTGTTGCAGCAAAATAGTGGCTATTTTTCATTGACTTGGTAAACGCTGTCTATTAATGAAGCAAGCCCCAAACCCCTGTGACACATTATAAAAGTAAAAATTGCACTGACGCCTTATGTGGTCGCTCCATTTAACATATACTCACTTCTTAAAATATTTTTAATTTTTACTTACTTTTTAAACAACTTCTACATGGTGTTTGTGAGCATATTTTAAGGTAGTTTATGATATTTTACAGTGATGAGCTGTTGTGGCGCTTTATTTTTTTAACTTTTGCTTAGAGTTTCTTCTTTTTTTTTTAATTGCAAATGGGTTCGTTAGATTTATTTTTGTTTTTACAAATTGATGATTGGGTTTTGTTCTGATGATATTTGGAGGTCATGTTTCTAATTTGAGCTCATTTGGAGTAGATTTAGGTATTAAATCGTAGATTGGATTGTTAAAATGTGAAGAATAAATTTCTATTTCTGGACAATTTGCACTTCATGCCTATTTGGCCTTTACGTGCATGAAAACATTGGTTGCACTTCAGATCTTTTGGCCTTAAGTGCATCTGAAGTGCAATTTTTCACTTCAGACTTATTGCTCTAAAGTGTAGGAAAACGTTTGTTGCATTTCAGACCTTTTGACCTTAAGTGCATCTAAAGTGCAATTTTTTACTTCAGACTTATTGGCGTTAAGTGTAGGAAAACGTTTGTTGCACTCCAGACCTTTTGGTCTTAAGTGTATGAAACCATTGGTTACACTTCACCCTATTTGACCTTAAGTGCATCTGAAATGCAATTTTTACTTCAGTCTTATTGGCCTTAAGTGTAGGAAAGTTTGTTGCACTTCAGATCTAAGTACAATTTTTCGCTTTAGACTTATTGGCCTTAAGTGCATGAAACCATTTGTTACACTTCAAACCTATTTGGCTTTAAGTGCATCTCAAGTGCAACTTTTTCCCTTCAAACTAATTTTTTTAACTTCAGACTTTAGGCTTACAAACTTTTTTGCAAAGTAAGTACAAGTTCAATTGTGACCCCAAAATCGGAAAGACGCAAAAGCTCCATTATAAAATGTACTGGCTACGCCAAAACCGAACAATATCACTAGCGAGCCAGGCTCTTACAACCTAACAACAAATGGATATAACTGCCTGAGCAGCATCAATTAGCAAAACCTGGTCGCTAATATCTTCGAATTTTGAGCTAGCTTGACAGATCATCGTCAATGCAACCGAAATTGCATTTTCTATTAATGCCAAATAATACTCGCTAACAAAGAAATTTAGACCTTGGAACAACTTCCAATTCACCCAAACAGCAAAGAAAAACTATAAATCAGCAAAGACATGGTAAGTTTGAGTCTGTAGTATGGTAAGCTTCAAGGCAGCTACAAATGCAGCAGCTGACATGCAACCAAAGACCAGAATATTTAGCCAATGCCAACTCTTCTGTAAGCTTGATAGCTTGTTTTTCTTCGCGACAAGGTACATATGGTTTGGGAGTATGAACGTGAGCGGAATTGTGCTGATAGCACCAGTAAGGCTCATGAAGTTCCCCAGGAAAGGTAGCAAAGCTGATAGGAAAGTGGTCATGATAAGGTAACCACCCCTGACAAACAGTCTGAATGCAAGATTGCGCGGAGCCAAGGCGCTTCCTTTGATTCCATATTTAGTATCTAGAAACTCATATGTTGGACTTGCAAATATCTACAAGCAGAAGCAAAGTAACTGCTATTAGAGAAGAATAATCAACTGTTGGTTTTTTTCTTTCAAGGTAAAAACAATAAAATTCCAAATAAAATCAAGGTGATTAAGATTACATGCAAGGTAATGATAGCTTGGAAGAAGGCAGACAAGTGAGCAACTCCCAATAACCAATCTGGACCATGGACATTGTTGAGCAAGTAGGATGAAACGCCAGATCCATATGCCCAATACCCAATGTAAGTAACAGCATGCATGGGAACAACTCCCACTGTAAACTGAAAGTTAAGAGCTTTCACCATATTTCGAACGACAGGTTGTCTGATTGTAGCCTGTCGCAACACAAATTCAAGAAAATTGTATCAAACGACAGTTATAAAGCGAACTAAGAGCTAACAGAAAAGCTGGAGAGAAATCAACAGATGTACTCTGCAGAAAATATCTTTTCCCATAATGCCCGGAGGGGACACATTCAACAGTTAAATTAACAAAGATTAGAATATTTCCCAATCTGCAAGCAACACCAATGAAGATTGAGAGAAAACCATTTAGCTCATTAGAGATGATAGTTAATTAAGCGAACATTTAGCTCCAACTGACACTATCATTCTATCAGCAAGTGAGACCCTTAAAATGAAGCTAAAAAGCACAAACTATGACGTTCGGATTGACTTGTGTATCAGGTGCCAGTGGGCGCAATCTAACTATCAATGTATCTAGAAAAGAAAAGTTGAATTACAAATGATGGTGTCAAACATTTCGCTTCGAATACTTTTGAATCTATCCTATACAATAATGAGGAAGCCGTTTCAATCTGCTGATATCAAATAGATAATACTCCTGCAACCACTGGTTGAAATTTCAGATATCTAACTGAGCATAGGCAACAGATATACTGATCACATAACAAGATTCGAAGGATCTAATCATGTAATTCTACGTAACTTAAAATTCATAACAAAGTATGGCACTCATCACAAAAGTTGGTGGATGTATTTCCTAACCTGTATCTCTGGGATCATTCCAGTGTTAAATGCAAAGAAAAGGTTTCCAGTCGCACCAATAATTGCCCAAATTGTGTTGGCTCCTGATCCTGGAATGCTATAGTCCCTAGGAGAAGCCTTTACACCTGTGATATGGAACTCGGATACTTCAGTGAGACAAGCAAGATGATGCTAAAGTATATATCAGTGTAGCTGCTTCAAGTAATTCTCAAGGACCAACCAATGGCAGGCTAACGAAAAAAGCTCAGGGATCCTTGTCACTCAATAAAACAGAAGGACCTGCTTAAAATTTAAAACCTGCCTCCATATCCCAGTGAAATCCATGTCATAAATATTTAGACATTCATTACCAAGTTCAAATTCATTAAGTGCATATGACGAAATGTTGGAAAAGATAAAGAGTTCAGAAGGTAAAAGTGAGAAAGATAGAGGAAGGAAAAGTCTAATTTCTTTCCTTTGAATGGTTAGGAGAAAAGGTGAGAGACTACAAAAAAATGTTCCATTTGAAAGATCTCGTCTGAGACTAGAAGGTAATCTTTCTTATTACAGAATTTTGTTTTTCCTTCATTCTGATTAGATTTATTCAATTTTTTCTAACTCCCTCTAAGAGGTAGTGTTTGGGCCAAAAGAAAGATTTCCCACAACTGCTGCGACCACATTTTCATCCTCTTTTAGTCTTAAGTCAAAGGTGGGATCATATAAACTTTGAAAATTTAACATTTCCTTTCACTAGTTCTGAACACTGTAAAGTTTATATAGAGCATGGTTCTAGCGCATCAAGGAAAACTCCAATGCAACATCAACTGCATATCAGGTACGCAAACAAGACAAGCCCCTCCATATGTAGATGCTTGTGTGAACTATTCTGCTGATATGATGATAATATGGGTAGGGGATCGTAGTTCACATCGCCTTCATAATAGCTCTACTAACTGTAACATGAGATTCTGGAACACTTTCTAGAAACTACTAAGAGAAAAAGCAAAACTGGCATTGTATGATGATAAAATCTAGTTGCCTCCCCATGTATATTTTGAGAAACTGGTGATATTTGACGTAACAACGCCTCTTGGCATTTAACTCCAATATTCACACAATTAAGCATCACAAAATTCTTCTTTAGCAAATGTCTTTCAACGAATAATATTTATTTGATTATGCTATTAGCTTAACACAATTGGTTTCCTTAAACAGGCATTACTTTTCGTAACGCGGAGGAAATCAAAACTACATCATAAGCACTGAAAGCCTGCAGGTCTATCATGTAACCAACTTGAAAATAGGGCTCCTTATTACTCGGACAAATGGCAATACACAGTACAAGTACTGAGAATTGGCACAGAGACATTTTGAACTTATCGACATTTTTGACAATTATAGTCACAAGTTTTTTGGTCAAATTACATAATCAAATTTTACCCTCAATGAAATTATAGTCAATTGCGGCTTGGAATGTAATATTAAATTAGTCACATTGCATTTGATTTTGTAATAACCTCAATAGTTTTATGGTTTACAACTACCTCTGTTTGTATGTTATTTTACATGTTCCACAGTTCAGTGAACTAATAAAATTAATTAATGTAATATATTACTTTTGTCACATGCTTGCATTGTGTTCATATGGCTAGTCAAATATTAAAGTGAGGAAGTAGCATACCATCTTTAACGGACAACACAAATGCTATGCTGAGATACAGTATCATAAACAGTGTTGAAAACCCGAGCCAAACCCTCAGTGCTGATAAATGTGGTGTTGCAATGGCAAAGAGGATGCATGCTAATCCAGCTATTGCTATAAAGTGTGGCAGCTTTATCTGATGGTCATCCCTAAAGATAATATAGAAAGCCTGGCAAGCAACTCAAGGAAAGCATGAATCAGAAATAATGTTTTAAGACTTTATATTCACTTAAAACATATCGAGATACTTTGTCCAGCTTATCTAATTATCCGAAGAAAAAAAAGGCTACACAAAGGAAAATTTATTTCTAACCTTTAAGGCTGAACCGCTCATGATGACATATCCAATATTTATCAAGAAGAGATTCGCATATTGTAATGCCCATATAAGCATATAAGCAGTCCGACCTGCAGCAACAAAATAAGTTCAATTCAAATTAAAGTTGCAGAAACAATCAAGCAATAAAACAAGCTATTGATGTCGGGAGTAGGAAATCAGCTAGTTGTATTTTTTCATTGCTCATACCATACAAGAATCCGGCGAGGTCTCTATATCTGATATGCCTCTTCCCTCCAACTTCATGGAGCTTAGCCATAAGAGAACTTGCATACAAAGAGACAATTGTGGACAAAACTAAACCAACTACACCGCCAATCCAACCTAGAGGAACCATGATTGTGCCAGAATATCCTAGTGCATACGCGCTGTTGACACCCATGCTCAGAACAACTCCTACCTGAAACCATGAGTCTACATTTTTGCAAAACAAATGAATCAACAAAAGAGTCAATAGGCATTCATGCCAAAGATACAATTATTAAAAAGAAAAAAAAAGTTCTTCTAATAGTAATGACGCATCACAAAATTCTTTTTAAACTTTTCAAAGAGACAAAACAGAAAAATTACTTGTTTCTCATGTGTATCAGGTGCATGAAAACTTTCCTTTTTTCAATTACCAAAAAAGCTTTAGCCATTTGGAAGAGGGGCTAAAAGTTCATTAAAAAGGACCAAGAATTATCATTCTATTTTTCTTTTTCCAAATAAATAGTATAACACAAAGAAGGAAAAACAGAGATTACAAGAATTTTAATAGAAAACGTGACCCCATGAAGCAATCCCAAAAAGCTCTTTACAAAAATGAATTTAAGGTTGCTAATATGCAGGCTGAGCAAAAATTTACTAATATCTTCAATATTCTAAAATTCCTTCCTTTTTTCATCAATTTAATTCGAAAACACAAATTTTGCAGAAATAAAACCTCCTTAAAGACCCTTAACAAATTTAATATGAACTTAATAAAACCCCACAAAAAAAAAAAAACGAAGACAAGAAGGAGCCAAAAAAAGAAAAGAAAAGCTAATGGAAGGAGGATATAGTTATGTTTCTTTTTGTTTTCTTGTTGCTGTTTTTTTCCAAAGAAATAGCATAACACAACAAAGCAGGCTGAACAAAAATGGAGAAGATAAAAATAAAACCTCCATAAAGAAATGTAATCTAACCTTAAACCAAACCCACAAAGAAACATCCATAAATTCAAAAATCAAAGACCAAAAAAAACCAAAAAAGGGGGATAGAGAAACAACCGTTGCTGACTTGATGGGCAGTATCAGGAATAACAACAGAGTGCTGATCCTCTGTTTTCTCCTTACGATAAGAAGGGCTTTGCCCATAAACACCGTTATTATGTTCATCGTCCATTACAAACTCTTTTTCTTTTTCTCTTTGAATGAGCAAAACGGTTTCCAAAGCCAGAGCCCCCCCCCCACTTAATTCAATTCAATGGCAGAATTCAGTCTTCACACCAATTATACGCAAATAAAGGGTTGCGTATATCGGTGTGAAGCAGAATGGGGTTAAGTGGTGGAGATATTTTAATTTATACAAAGAACCCAACACACAAAAAGAAAATGAATTAGTGTTCTTCCATGAAATTCGCAGGGCTATTGATGATTCTTGAAACCCAAGTGGGTTTCTTATATAAAACGTTTGATTGAGTTTTTTATTTTTTTTTTATTTTGACAAACAGATGCGTATGGAATATTGGAATTCGGAATTGGATTAAACAAAAATCTCTACCGCATCTGTGACGATAGGTGCAGGTAACCAAGTGTATACCTTGAACGTGGTTTCACACTTCGCGGCATTTATACGGGACAAGTAAGTATTCTCTCACAAATATCTTCCGTTGAAATGTTTTTCCTTTTTCCTTTTAGTATGATATTTTAGATTACTTTTTAATTAAGTACATATGTTATGTGCGTATAATATATATTAATTAATGACAGAAAACATGGATGACCCCTAAATTTGCTAGAATTTGTATTTACACACCTTATTTTAGAGTCCCACCAATATATGAAACCTCATATATCAAGATATAGAATACATAAACGATCATAACGACGACGTGCCGTAATAACATTGTATACGATCAATATTGGGCCTACCTGATTTTGCTATTTGATCGAGACAAGGGAGTTGCGTTAGGGTTCGCCTCGTAATGAATCAGGCCCAACCTCGAAGACGAGGCATCGAGTCTAAAGATCGAAATGTCCGTTGAGACCGATGCCAGCAGCAATCGAGGTTAAGTATGACCGACTTCAAGTGAAATGCAATAACGGAAAGGCGAGATATCCGTAACCGGTCAAAGATCACGGCGGAAATCTCGAAACGGATCAAATCAATGGTGGTTATTTGTACCAATCATGCGATTTACTTCCGTAACTAGAATTGTACCACAATTAGGATTCCTCTAGTATATAAAGGGGAATCCCCATCATTTGTACACACCTTACATTCATACAGATCAAAGCAATATATTCTCTTTTTCTCTGGTTTATCAATTCGCCGTTCTTTAATTGATCTTACTTTACTAAGCTCGAGGGTTCATCAGCTCGATGTATTAGGGAAAATTTGTATTCATATATATATGATGACGTGTCCTGACACGTGGAATGGATAATGAGTTATGATTTGCCACGTTTCAAGAGTTACAAACAGGTACGGGTAGAAAGAGGCACGAGATGAGAGGCTCAGCGCCCCGTTCCTGTTTAAGCTTATTTACATACGAGCAATGAGAAGAATGAACCTGGCTAAAGAAAAAGATGCAAATACGGCATTTAAAGGGTATTAAATACTGGAACCATTAAGGAATATATACATTCAATGTAATGATTATGTAACGTAGCATTTAATGTCATTAATCACTCATAATAGCCTCATTATGACTTAGGCATAACGTGCATTCCCAAAGGGACCTATAAAAGGAGAAATATGTAATCACTGGAGGGACAAGTGACTATTGAAATATACTCTGATTTACCAGCTTTCATACTTGGCTATTCTAAAATTTCTTTCTTTATTTACTTTTTCGATTATCAGTAACCCGATTCTTCTAATTTCTAGCTTTCACTAAAAATCTATTTTTTGGTTAAACAAATTGATTCCGTTACCGGGAATCTGATAATCAATTATACCTCACCCTGATATTTTTGACTGCATCAATCATGTCGAACAACAATGACAACACTCAAGGAAACCCAGAAATTCAAACAATCCAACAACTTCAGGGAGACTCTCCACGAGGCTCTCCACAAGGCTTTCCACGAGGCTCCCCACGACGGTCTCGTGAAGGCACTCCTGATGGATCTCACACAGATGGACAGACTCAACTCGAAAATGTTGAAACCATGAATGAGGCTTTGCAAAAACTTATTGCCTCTCAAGTCAATGAAGCTCTTCAGGCTTTTGTTAGCCAATTACCTGCTGCTCCACCCACATCTACTCCAAACAATAATACTTTGGAGAATCCTCGTTTTGGATTGGTTAATTCAGGCAGCGGTGGAACCCCTAGTGAAACACAAGAGGGAGATCCAGGTAATCCAGTTAATTCTGATTTACAAAATCTAGTACTAACCTTGCAGAAATAGCTTAAGGAGCAAAATGAACGCATAGAACAAATACCCGGATTACCGCCCGTGATCAAGGGAGTAGATATAGATAAATATTCCCAACAACCATGGAAGCCAAGTGCTGCCCCCCTCCCAATTCCAAAGAAGTTTAAGATGCCTGATATTCCAAAGTACGATGGTACATCAGATCTACGAGATCACGTTACTGCATTCACAACAGGTGTCAAGGGCAATGATTTGACTAAGCAAGAGATTGAATTGGTCTTGGTCAAGAAATTTGGTGAAACACTCACTAAAGGGGCCTTAACATGGTATTCTCTTTTACCTGAAAATTCTATAAATTCGTTTGCTGAGCTTGCAGATTTATTTATCAAAGCACACTCGGGAGCTCAAAAAGTTGAAAAGAGAATGGAAGACATCTTCAAAATCAAGCAAGGAGATTCAGAGTTGCTTAGAGAGTTTGTAGATAGATTTCAACGGGAAAGAATGATGCTGCCACGAGTACCTGACAATTGGGCAGCCATAGCCTTCGCTAGTAATTTGAACGAGAAGAGTTCAGAAGCCATGAGACGACTCAAAGAAAGCCTTCGAGAATTCCCAGCAATAACGTGGAATGATGTCTACAACAGATACAGTACAAAGATGAGGATTGAGGAAGATATCATTTTACTACATAAAACAGAAGAAAAAGCAAGTTCAAGGCGTGTAGAGAATGAAAAAAGATCTGGTAAAAACAGGTACGAGCCTTATATGGGACCTACGGGAAAGGATTCACGGTCAAGACAAGATAATCAAAGGTACAATCACAAAACTAGACACAGGGAATCAGGCTCCTCATCAAGGTTTGGAAATGATCGAAACGCACGTGGGTCACGAGACGATGATGGCAGTTTAAAAGCAAGGTTTGGTAGATACAATTTTAATTTAAGCACCTCTGAACTCGTAGCTGTTCTAAGAAGCATGGGAGATAAGGTACGATGGCCGAAGGAGACGAGATCAAACCCAAACAGATGAAACCTTGATCAATTCCACAACGATCACGGGCATAAAACAGCAGATTGCAGGTTTCTGCAAGGTGAAGTTGATCATTTGCTAAAACAGGGGTATCTCACTGAGTTATTCAGTGAGAAAGGTAAACAAGCATACATGAAGAACAGGCAAGAGCCTTCGAAACCACCTTCACCCAAGAGAACTGTCAACGTTATAAGTGGGGGTGAAGAGATTAACGATGTATCATATAAAAAGGTTTCAAAAGTAACAATTACCCACGGGAAGCGACCTCGACATGTACTGGAAGAGAAGAATATTATATTTAACGACGCAGACGCCAAGAGACTCTTAACTCCGCATAACGACGCACTGGTAATATCTTCACTTGTACATGACACTAACGTGAAACGAGTTTTGGTTGATCCAGGTAGTTCTGTAAATATTATTTTAATACGAGTATTGCGCGAGATGCAAGCGGAGGATAAATTAATTCCAAAAGCACATACTTTGTCGGGATTTGACAACTCTAGTGTTGTAACAAAAGGGGAAGCAATACTTACTACATTCGCAGAAGGCGTTGTTAAAGATACCAAATTTCAAGTCGTAGATATGGAAATGGCTTACAATATGATTCTTGGGAGGCCATGGATTCATGACATGGATGTTGTTCCTTCAACCTTACATCAAGTTATTAAATTTCCATCTCCATGGGGAATACGCCAAATTAGAGGCGATCAACAAACATCTAGAAGCCTCAATTCCGTTGCAGATTCAACTATTAAAGGTGAAGACAAATAGCAATTACAGAATTTAGGTGAGGGTAACACGGTGTCAACCTCACCTGAGCAAAAGCAAACGGATGTGGATTCGAGACCTGGTACCATTCAAGAACCGGAGGAGAACGAGAACATCAAAACAACGATAGAAGAGCTAGAGGCCGTGGTGTTATTTATACATTGGCTCGAGAGAAAAGTGTACATAGGAGCTAATCTTAGCCCAGAGGTAAAACGTAAATTGATTGAATTTTTAAAAGCTAATGCAGATTGTTTTGCTTGGTCCCATTCTGACATGACAGGGATACCACCGGAAGTCGTGACTCATAAATTGAATGAAGATCCATCATATCCTCCCGTCAAGCAAAAGAAAAGAAAGCAAGGAACTTTCAAGAATAAGGTGATTCAAGAGGAAGTTCAAAAATTGCTAAAAATTAGTTTAATTCGTGAGGTAAAATATCCTAACTGGTTAGCTAATACTGTTGTGGTTCCTAAGAAGAACGGTAAGTGGCGAGTCTGTGTAGATTACAGAGACCTTAATAAAGCCTGTCCAAAAGATTCTTTTCCTTTACCGCACATAGATCAGTTAATTGATGCTACTGCAGTGCATGAGCTATTAAGTTTTTTAGATGCATATTCAGGCTATAATCAAATCAAGATGGATCCAAGAGATGAAGAAAAAACTTCTTTTATAACAGACAGGGGGACTTACTGTTATAAGGTAATGCCCTTTGGTCTTAAGAATGCAGGTGCAACGTATCAGAGGTTAGTTACCCAAATGTTTCAAGAACATTTAGGTAAAACCATGGAGGTATATATAGATGATATGCTAGTTAAGACTCAACATTCAAAAGATCATATATTGCACCTGTCTGATACGTTTAAAATTTTACGAAAATATAATATGAAGTTGAATCTAGAAAAATGTGCATTTGGTGTGGCATCAGGTAAGTTTTTAGGTTTTCTTGTTTCTAACCGTGGTATTGAAGTGAATCCTGCACATATTAAGGCCATTGAAGAAATCCCTTATATACTTTCAAACAAGAAAGAGGTTCAAAGACTAACGGGGAGAATCGCAGCTTTGGGAAGGTTCATTTCTAAATCATCGGAAAAATGTTTCAAATTCTTCTCGGCCCTTAAGAAGCAGGATCATTTTGAATGGGATGAGGAGTGTCAACAAGCACTTAGGAATTTGAAAACATATTTGTCAAATCCACCTTTGCTAGCAAAACCAAAGGCTGGGGAGAAACTTTTCATCTACCTTGCTGTTTCAGAAGTTGCGGTAAGCGCGGTTTTGGTTCGAGAAGAGCAGGGTAAACAATATCCTATCTATTATGTTAGTAAATCTTTGTTAGATGCAGAGACACGGTATCCACAATTGGAAAAACTAGCACTTGCTCTAATCATGGTATCTAGAAAGTTAAGAGCATATTTTCAA